AGACATACAAAGTGTAAGCTAAAGAAAACAACAAAACAATGTTATAATGCCAATGTTTTATTCGTAATATATGCCCTACAGTCCGAAATAAAACCAGGTTTTCAATTAAACAAAGAGTGATATAAATATATATTAACATATCAGTTACTTGCAAGTTAGTACATGTAACATGTTTATATAAAGGTATAAAGGTAATAAAATTAAACATATAATGTACATATGTCAAATATGATCAATATCAGAGTGTTGTTGAAGAGGTTTAATATTCATTTGATAACGAAAATGAACAGTAAACGAATTTGTAATTGAAAACAAGTTAAAATCAGTGTTTTAAATTATTATTATTACTTGGTAGTACATTTTTAATACACATTTAAGCGTTCTGTCAACTCACTGTATAGAATACTGCATCGTCCAATGAACATAATTCAGATGCAATACATGTTTATCCATGTGTAAAATATTCCCATGTACAATTCTAACTATACAATATGTCTTGACTTGCCAATCAGAAAGAAAACTGTCAATATTTACGTGGCGCAATAGGTGGCATACAAGTAAATAAGTTGAAGTATTAGATCTATTAGCAAAAGTATTACATCTTAGATCTATTAGCAAAAGTATTAGATCAATTAGCAAAAGTATCAAATCAATTAGCAAAATTTTCATATAAATTAGAAAAAGTATCAGATTAATGAGCAAAAAGTATCAAACCCTTTAGCAAAGTTTCATATAAATTAGAAAAAAGTATCAGATCAATAAGCAAAAAAGTATCAAATCAATCATCAAAAGTTTCATATAAATAAGAAAAAGTATCAGATCAATTAGCAAAAGTATCAAAATCAGTTAGCAAAAGTTTCATATAAATTAGCAAAAGTATCACATCAATTAGCAAAAGTTTCATATAAATTAGAAAAAGTATCAGATCAATTAACAAAAGTATCAAATCAATTAGCAAAAGTATAAGATCATAATATTGTTATACAAATCTAAGTACACAATACATCTAACATGGGAAACAATTTATATTGAATAGTTTGAAAAGACAAGATTCAAACTAAGATTTATCTCTACTTACAATTTATGTCTATCATTATGCAAAGTGTAACATACATTCAAGTTATCTAGTTTTATAATATTCAGTTTCGCACGCAATATTTACAAGGACGAAATTAAAACAAAACTAAAAGGAAACAAACGATAAGTATGATGTAACAAAACTTACAAGCTCATGAGTAAATTTAGGTATTAGTGTATTATCTGAACACAGTTTTCCGTATTTATACAAATTTTTTAACTGTGATTGACGGTTGATTAATTAACACTAATTGCTTGTGACAAAAATAACTGCCTAAACAACAACAACAACTCAACAACAACAACAACAAACGTGTTTTCCGCCTGTACTTTCTATATATTTCTCACAAGTATCATATTATTGTAGTCTTTTGAAAAAACATGCATTTTAACACATCACCACTCCCAGCAGCACGTACGTTTTAATACTAATCAGAACTCCGGAAAAAAATATTGTGTACCAGACGAATTTTCCCAGAAGACAGTGCTGCCTGAAAAATTGCCGACTTTTATGCGCACTTGTTCATTTGTATCAAGTACCAAAACATCTACCATTCTTCGGCAAGCGCCGTTCATTTTACCTCCATATCCGTGTACATGTTATTTACTATCATCGTCGACCTTGCACTAAGTTAATTAAAAACTCTCTTGTCGGGATGCACACATAATTGACACGTGAATAAGATATAACCCTCTAGTTGCTGCTGTGTAGATTACCTGTTCTATTATCATAGCCCGGCGTTCTTGTCGAAATGCGTTGTAGTAAATATCAATGTCTCACCTGTTGCTGGGATTTGAGATTCTTCAAATTACTGGCTCTAAAGGGCAACCGCTGAAGCTGTAGTGTATGATGTTATGAAATTATCATAATAGTATAGTATACAAATAAAAGATCTTGCAGAATATAACATATGATTATAAGAACAAAAGTGCATTACTGTGGGAAATGGAACCTTGAGAGACAATAGCTGCCTCTTTTAAATTAATCAAGTGAAACTCAGAAATGATTTTTCTTTAAATTTCCCTTCTACAATTTCATATTCAAAATAACCCGTTTTTCATTATTAAAATCTAGAATAACATCATGCAAATCAAATATCATTAAAAATTTACTTTATCGATTGATGTAAGAGCATGTACATACGAAGAACGCTGTAGTTAAGAGCATATTAAATATGACATTTTATTAATCAAAATTCGGGCACTTGTTGAAAAACACAAAATAGAAGTTTGTTTTGTCAAAACAAGTCATAAAAATTGAATGCATTCTAAATGTTGTTGTCCTAAGTATGATATCATAAACACGTATGCATTTTTTGACTTTATTTTGTTTTCTCTTTCTAAATGTTTCGAACTAACGCCGCACGTTCGGGTTTTTGATTAACTTGCTTTAGTTACATAATTAACATTCAATTAATGACATTACACAAATATGCTTTGGTCACAAGATTTAGAATTGCAAAATAAATTGAAAAGAATTCCTCGTTACTTTATTATTTGCAATCAAAGTGATATTCTGATATCAAGTTTAGCTGAATTTACTATATATTTCAAAAGATTGAGTGCTATAATGGCGATTGAAAAATGCTAAGGATATAATATAAATCTGCCTAAAATATATAAAAACTACCCCAGTCGTTTTTTAAATTAAACGTTATATGTAAGGTAAATGGATATTTATAGAAATTTCCTTGGACCAAGGGAGTTATTTATCGTTAACGCGGATTGTATTATAAAATTGAAAGGAATCATGGCAAAATGTAACCTTATTTTGACTTTCACATGTTTATTCACTTTATACCCTTATATGTCACTTTAAAAATAGACTGAATAAATTGTAAATAAACAAGTGAAATTCAATTTTAAATAGTTTAGATAAGAATTTGAAGCAAATATGTATGATTCAAATAAGGTTGACAATTGGAAAAAGTATAAAAATCCTCGTTACGTAATTATTGTGTAAATAAAATTTACAGTTACTAGTTATAATGTCGTCCGTCGCATTGAGGGTCGAAATACGACAATGCGAAGTGACAGGCAACAATGCGATACGATGCCAGACAGTGCGAAGTGACGGCCGCTAGTGATAAGCGAGGCCCATAAATACGTAGCTACACTCGACAATGCGAAGCGACATTTTGATAATTTTGCTGAAACATACTGATAAAATAGCCCTTTAATGGGGGAGTACTCATTTGTACATAAATCCACAGACGTTTTGGGATCAGATCCTGCCCCCAACGTGATACGCCCCTGTAAACACACTATCAAATTTTTTTTTATTATTTAAACATGAATTGGACATCTGTTACAACGATTAATCTGTTTTGCAAACAATTTTTACATATATGAAAAAAATACCGAATACCATAAAGTTTCAATAAAGTAAAGATTGCAGACTCCAAAATGTAAACACGAATTCCCAAAACTAATAAAACGTGATAAATCATTATTAAATAAACCTTATCGTGAATTTTTCGGTGTAAATCAAGAGAATATCGAATTATCTACTAGGTGCAATCAGAATAAACATTTATACATCACATTTTAATATGAAAATCAACTTTTAATTAAAATCGAAAGTAACTAAGCAATTAGAAAAGAGTTCCCGGTGTACTTGCTTTCGACTACTCGAGCATTCTATCGTCATTTCCCGCGTGTAAGCTGTTTGCAAGCGCTCGTTGAAAAGACATTTTCTTTGTAATAAAACTATTACCAAGATGCACAGTGTGTTGTTTCCCTCTTTTTTATTCTATATAATGTACGATATAAATATTTGAATTTGGCGGTCATATTTGGTCTCCCGAAAGTGACAATTTTAATACAAGTTTAGTCATGAGAGAATTATAGTGTTGGGTCCCGGCTCAAAAACGAAACGAAAGCGCAAACATACTCTAGGCTCAGGTCGCGAATTGGTTGAACTGTTTACATTTTGGACTCTGAAATCTTTACTTTGTCGTAACTTTGAGACTTGATGGGCTAGATACGGTATTTTTTCATATAATTTGTATAAATATGTTGAAAACCAGATTTATCGTTGTAACAAATGTCCAATTCGTGTTTAAATATTGAAATATTTTTGACTGTGTTACAGGGGCATATCACGTTGGGGTTGGCAGGATCTGACCCCCAATCGTCTGTGCATAAATCTTGTACATCAGGATGCAGCTATAGTTTTGTAGCGTTCAAAAACAGTAGTACACGTATAATGATAAAATAGTCGTATGTTTTCTAAAAGTTATGAAGAACTGAAGCATGGCACCTCAGTTTTACTGACAATTACTTTAGACTTTACAATATTTTGTTAATTTAAAATCGCAATGATTTTTCAATCATTCAAATACGACAAGACGAAATGATGGATTTGTTTTTTGATGTGACGATAAAAAAATTGTTTTGTCGCAAAAAGATGACGCGATTATGATTATATCACACAGATAATTTAGTAACATTATACCCGGCAATTGCTTTTAGTGGGGTCCAATTGCAAATGTTTAAACGGGGTGCGCATGCTAATCGAAAAGTAACAACACTGAAATTTTGTTACTTTGTGTCTCAGTTGTCACATGAAAAACATTGCATCCGCGCTCTCTTATTTTTCGCGTGCGTATACACGAAATAAAAACAAACTGGAAAAAAACGCCGCAATATGAAGCCGATTTCAACGCGACATCACCAAACGACAGTGCAGTTTTCCATTTCGTTTTGCTGACTGTTATTCGCATTGTCTAGCATTGTAGCGCATTGTCTAGAATAAACTTCGCTTTGTCTTGCGATGTCCCTTAATAGTCATGGACGCCAAAATATATAGATATAGTAGTACATTTTACAGTTTGTAAATAAACATAGGTAATTTAATTTCAAATATAAAAGTGTATTTTAGTAATTTAAAACATTTTCACGACAAATAAAATATATCAAACCTTTTTCCGTTATCGCTTTGCACTCTTTGTCATGCCTATCCTCCAAATCTATAAGGTCGTTTTTGATTTTCGCCAAGTCTTCTTGATTTTTCTCCAACGCTGCTTTTGTGATTCCATCCCTTTCTGAAACATCTGATTTTAGCCTTTCAACAATGAATTCAGTTTTTATAATTTTTTCAAGAGTTCTTTCCTCGTAATGAAATTTGGAGCATTCAGGTTCACTTGAACAGAATGTCCAAAAAGAAATTAAAATCAGGTATACGCACGAATTCATTGTTATGCTTCCTCAGGGGACTAAACAATTATTACTGACATTCGTTTCTTTTTATAAGCTACGTCAGAAGTTCGTTATCATCTTCACAGTTATTTTGTAGGGCTTTTATATCGTTATTGTTAATAAATAAAAGAGTGATAACGCCTAAATTGTTTCATCTATCTTTTTTTCGCTTACTCTTAAAATTTAATAACAGTTAGACACCTGCATCATAACTGTCCTAAAAGCATTCTGAGATCGCATTTACGATTCTGAAGGAAAAAAGATTAGTTGTTAGAGATGCTTCTATCTCAGTTAATCTTAGATTATTTCACACATGTTCATTTTAGCTCGATTATGAAACATGTTCATCAAAGTTAAATTCAACATTTTCAAGTCCGCTCCAGTACTGGTGTCGTATAAGGTAACATAATTATGACCTAAGTAGGACGTTTAAGACAACGTAAACACTAGAATACCACTGATATTTGATATAAATCTGGTATGAATGATATAGTAGTTTTATCATATTCAACTCGTTGTCTGCGAAAAGTTGGTATTACTATTCCCCTTACAGCTCAACTCAAGTGGTTCAAACTACAACTCATAGCCACTCTTCCTTATCTAAATGTATAAACGAGTTACTGTATTAGATTTTCTGATTTTCTTAAATTCAAAATTTCTTTTTCAATGATAGGCTCATTATTTCAGTATTCTAATGATAAATGATAACTTTGCAAGTTATAACCTAAAATAGTTCTTTTTAAATAACGAATACAAAAAAAAAATTGTATAACACACTAATATCCATTGAATATTGCATACGTCAAATGTATGATACATTTGTCTTTGTCATTTTTATGTTGTCTTGCAGTATACTTTCAAATAACCTGACTCTATGCAAAGATGGATTTTCGTGGGAAAATAAAATAAAATAAACAAAACTAATCACTGCAAAAATAAACCAAAACAACTTTACAAACTATAACCTTTAGATAGGATAGTAATAGTGTTATTTTATAAAATATAAAACATTTCTTTCGGACGAGTTCTTAGCTTCAAATGTTTATTTTTTCTCTCTCCAAATATAAACGAAAGCTAGTTTTGATATATTTTGTTTGACTAGATATTTCATTAATACTACAAAGATACTTATATTTGTCTAAAATCTAACAAATCATTATTTACTGGATGCAAGAGAACCTTGACATTTATTTTGAAGTAGGTGTATCAAAGTTGTAACCACAAACTTCAGAGTAATCAATTTCAGACAAGCAGCGGATACTTGACTTCCTTTCGAGATAATTTTTTAAACTACGATAACATTTAACTATTAAACGATAAAAATCTCAAAGCTATACGCTGCGTGTGGCTTTGCTGTGATTTCTCAGAATTTTGACTGATTCTCAGAATTTCTACAAAAATTGTGTTTAACGTGATCATTCCCAGTAACCAAATTATCAAGGAATTGTTTGTTCAAAATCATTTCATTTTCATAGTTGCTTTAGATGGTAATATATCGAATGAATTTGATGTTGTCTTTTAAATGCATTCATCCATGATGACAAATAAATGTTTTGTCAGATATTTTCTCTAATTTCAGGTAGTACAATTAAATTCATGTGTATATATTGTGTACACTTTCACAGTCATGTCATGTCATGGAAATTAATAAAACTAAGTTCGGGAATCTAAAAATACAAGTTAAACATTAAAACTATCATATATAAAAATTTTAAACCCGCAAATAACGATAAAACCTCTTCAAATTAACCTATCAAAATTGTGATGACTCACAAAATTTTAAAAAAAATACCCGGGGAAATTA